ACTACTACTACTACTACTACTACTACTACTACTACTACTACTTACCTACTACTACTACTACTACTACTACTACTACTTACTACTACTGCTACCACTACGACTACTACAACTACAACTACAAGTACTACTACTACTACTACTGCTACTACTACTACTACTACTACTACTACTACTACTACTACTACTACTACTATTACTACTACTACTACTGCCACTACTACTACTACTACTACTACTACTACTACTACTACTACTACGACTACTATAACTAGGACTACTACTATTGCTACGATTGCTACGACTACTACTACTACTACCACTCCTACTACTACTACTACCACTACTACTACTACTACTACTACTACTACTACTACTACTACTACTACTGCGACTACTACTACTACTACTACTACGACTACTACTACGACTTACGACTACTACTACTACTACTACTACTACTACTACTACTACTACTACTACTACTACTACTACTACTACTACTACTACTACTACTACTACTACTACTACTACTACTACTACTACTACTACTACTACTACTACTACTCTACTACTATTACTACTACTACTACTACTACTACTACTACTACTACTACTACTACTACTACTACTACTACTACTACTACTACTACTACTACTACTACTACTACTACTACTACTACTACTACTACTACTACTACTACTACTACTACTACTACTACTACTACTACTACTACTACTACTACTACTACTACTACTACGACTACGACTACTACTACTACTACTACTACTACTACTACTACTACTACTACTACTACTACTACTACTACTACTACTACTACTACTACTACTACTACTACTACTACTACTACTACTAATACAACTACTACTACTAGGGTCACACCTGATTTGTGGCCGGTGAGGTTTGGGTTTGGGTTTGGGTTTGGGCTTGGGTTTGGGTTTCTTTGTTTCCTGTTGGAAACCAATTGTTTTGATTAGCGTTCTATTGAAAGCCAATGGTTTGGCTCCGTTTTCTATTGGACACCTATGGTTATAAATTAGTCTTCTATCTGGAACCAATGGTTTTAATTAGTTTTCTATTGGGAACCAGTGGTTTTCATTACCTTTCAATTGGGAACCAATGATTTGTATTAGTTTTCTATTGGGAGGCGCAGGTTTTAATTAGTTTTCTATTCGAAACCAATGGTTTTAATTAGTTCTCTCTTGGAAACCAAATGTTTCTATTCGTTTTCTATTGGGAACCATTTTTTTCTCTAGTTCTCTTTTGGAAACCACGAAACGCTGTGTATGACAGGTTTTTTGGGTTTTTCTGCTCTTGGGATCGACGAAACGCTGTCTATGACAGGTTTGTTTTGTTTTTTTAACTAGTTTTCAAGTGCCGACAAACAGGGGGGGTGCGGTGGGGTGACGCCGCGGCGAGCATTCCAGCTCCCAGAAACCACAGAAACCTGTCATGCACAGTGTTTCGTTGATCCCCAGACCAGAAAAACCAAACAAACCTGTCATACACAGTGTTTTCTTGCTCGGAGGCCACGAAGCGGTGTTTATGTCAGTTGTGTTTGGGTTTTTTGTTGGCTTTCATGTGCCGACAAACATGGAGGGGTGCGGTGGGGTGAGATCGCGGCGAGCATCCCAGCTCCAGAAACCAGAAAAACCAGAAAACCTATAATACACAGTGTTTCGTTGATTCCCAGACCAGAAAAACAAGAAAAACATATAATACACAGCGTTTCGTGGCCTCGGCCGAAACCGATATGCTTACGCGCACGGTGCCCGTGACGGATGGGCCGAGCGGATGAGTTCGTCAGCCTGGATGGCAGGCCAAAGGTGAGTTGTGAAAAAACGAAGGGCTTCAACGAAGCGATTCTGTTGATTCGTGTTTTGGGCGCTCTGGGGGGTCGCTGGGGGGGGGGGGGACCGACCATATATATATATATATATATATATATATATATAATATTTATATAACACAACATACACACAAGGAGGGGTACGGTCGAAGACGGGGGGGGCGGACACCAATGATTTGGGATGTAGAAATTGAACGAAGCGCGAGCAGACAACAGCGAACACATATTGAATGATTGCTGTTGCTGTTGTTGGCAAAGCGGGGGCCCAGCCACAAACACAGTGGTGTGTCCCAAGACCTCCCCTGGTAAGAGGTAAATTACGCGCCCAGATGTGGCACTTCAAATGAGAAAAAGAAAGAACATATCTGATGGCTTCCGGAAATTCCGAACCCCAAAAGATTGCTTATCTCTTTGGGGGGGTAAGTTTTACTTCCGCCGGCGTCCGCCGAGCTTCCGCCGGCTTCCGCCAGCGGAGCCACCCACGCTTTACTTCCGCGGGCTTCTGTCGCCCTTCTTTTACCCTGGACCGAGGACGGGATACCACATCCTTCGATCCTCGAAGGCAAGACCCTCTCCGGAATCCCTCATCCGCTGCCCGAGGGGACCGCCAAAACTTGTCAGAAATAGCAGATCAGCACAACAGCAATCAGCATAATCCGCCTGACGCTACGCCGTTTTAGCCACGCGCTCACGGACGGTGCAAGACCGTTCACACCCCTCACTCTGATGCATACCAGCACACGATGTCAACAAATACGCTGTCTGCACGTACGAGAACACAGCTTGAATACGCACACAGAAAACACTGTAACGCGTAAATTGGAGCAGCGCTTGCAGACAGAAGACATCAGACTTGCCAGGTGTGCAAGTGTATATGTACTGACGTGGGCACCGCCATACCTTCCTCCCCCGAGCAGCTGTTCTCTTGTATGGTACGTGCTTCATGCTGCAGATGTGGGCGAAATAATCTGGAGGGAGGCGTGCGACGATATTGACGTTGGCGGTGTACCAGAACGGTAGAGACGAGGCCACCAGCATTGCGGGTCACGTTACTTGCATCGCAGACTATCCTAGGGGTTATGACAACATTGCTGGCCCTACTCATGGGAACGAATGGCAACGTCTTGTACGCAGCGGGGCTCCGACACGAGTATCCCAACAAGGGTATACCAGCCATTGGTTGCCAAGTTCCAGATGCGAGCACCAACATCAACACATACGAGACCATACTTGCGCACTGAATGATAACCGACAACTACGACCGCTGACTGAGCAATGACAGCAGAAACAACATGCAGCACACGCCGTACATCAATACAGTGTGCAGATAAAAAAGGCCGTACACCTGAACCTGTTGATATGCTGAACTTGCCTTTGAGAGTTATGAGCGTTATGACCCGTAGGAACAAATAGTTTTCCACCACCGTGCCCCTTTGGCACGTAGTGGAATATCTTCAGGTCCCGTCCTCCACAGCCTGAGACTCAGTCCCCAATGCTGAGGAATCTTGAAAGGGCCCAGACCCCAAACTGTCAAATCTCCCGGGGCTTGCCGCGTGCCCCATGGGTCCGTCGCGTGCCTCCTGGAGCTTGTCGCGCCATGCCTCGTGACTAGTTCGGCCCCAACAGGGCTCCAAGATGGGCCAAGGGACTTCAAACACCCGCCCAAACATCCCAAGGATGCCCCGAGCCGCTACACGATCGGTCCAATGACTCCCAGGTTGGCTCCAAGATGACCTTAGAAACCTCCAAGACGCCCCAACAGAGCTCCAAAAGCCTCCCCGAGAGTGCCCCAAGAGTCCATGATACGTGTTGCCCTGTAGGTTGTTGAATGCGCGCTGGGTTCTCGACGTTTCCAGCCCCTGACGCTCCAAGACGGTTCCCAGAGGCCCCGAAAACCACCCCAAGGACGGGCTAAGATGCCCCCCAAGAGGGCTCCAAGACGACCCAAGAGGCGCCCAAGACGGCCCAGCTCCAAGAGGCTCCCAAGAGGCCCAAAAGCGGCCCACAGAAGCCGAAACACTGCCCCCCAAAAGGCCTCAAACTTGCCTCCAGGGGGCCTCCGAAGGGCCTCGACAAGATCCCAACGAACAACCAAGAGGCCTCAGACCCAAATTCCAGGCACGGTGGCGGGATGGGCCGAAAGCAGTTTGATCTAGAACGCCTCAACACATACGCATGCTCAATGTTACCCATTGCTACTACTGTGTGGGAATAGAGCTGAAAGCGTTCGACTGGGCGGACGGATGCCCAGTGTAAGCGGTTGTGCCCAACAAGCTCCTGGTCGGTCGAACACGACCCATCTCAAAGGAGCAACGCGCACGTTTGGCACATCGCGGCTCAATAGCAGGTGAGCGAAGAGGCACGGGCCCACAAGCGGTACACAGAATCGATGATACTGTGTGTCACGAAGGCTCTCCGCGTAAGGGACGCACATTCGATGCTACCCAAGGCATTGCGGACGCAATCGATCCTTGGGTGCCCCGAAACATGTGTAAAACACTGATTTGACATGCCAAGACACGAACGTGTGTAAAGCGTCGTGCCGAAAATACGGAGTACCCTCCTCCTCCACTACGTGTAACCTCCTCCCCAGCGCACCCCATGTTCAGGAGCGATTCAGGAGACCTCGCGGAAAGGACGTCGGCCAGCCAGCGTCGACGATCGCATCAAGGGCGAAGGGTTGGACGTGATGTTGGGGTCGCAAGCACCGCGACGTTTGCATGCACACGGGCAGCCTGACATCATCCAAGGATGCTGCGACGCAGATCTTTGCGATCAGAAGGGGCACTGCTGCCGACGGGAACGCATGAACAGCGAGCGCGGCCAAAGGGGGACGGCCACTGGGCGCGGCCATCGAGGTCGCGCCAATGGCGGAGGGGCAAGGCGGCTTCTGGGCCAGAGCAAAACAAAGAGGGATATCCAAATATCTCAACGAAACTTCCCAGAAGTCTCGACTACTTTCCCGTGACCAGCTTCTCATACTGAGCGGCTTTTTGACGGTACCAGGGCCTGGTAAGACTGCCCCCAAAGGCCCAACATCGACAGAAGCCTTCCGTCGCGCTTTTTGGCCACGACGTGGGGATGTCAGGCGAGAGGAAGGTGTGGAGCGGATCGGCGCCAATTTGCACGGGCCTGTGTGGTCGCGCGCCACGACGCACCACGTCTCCGTCGCGATGGACACGCCCTGGAGGGGGCTTGCCACGCGGGCGAACGAGGCAGCCCCAGGATGCTCCCCGAGCACCCCCAGCTGCACTCGATGCCCGCTGCGGCGGGAGCAGCGGGGGAAGGGGGAAGTGGGAGGGGGGAGGGGAAGGAGGGATGGGGGGGGGGCGGAGGTGGAGGAGGAGCGAGGAAAAGGAGGAGGAGGAGGAAAAGGAGGAACGAGGAGCGAGGAGCGAGGAAAAGGAGGAGGAGGAGGAGAAGGAGGAGCGAGGAGGAGGAGAGTGGAGGAGAAGCGAGGAGAATCGAGGTGGAGGAGGAGGAGGACAAACGAGGAGGAGGAGGAGGAGGAAGAAGAGGAGGCGGCGGCGGCGGCGGCGGAGGCGGATGGCGGAGGAGCGGCGAGGAACGAAGAGGCGCACGAGGAGGAGGAGGAGGAGGAGGAGGAGGAGGAGGAGGAGGAGGAGGAGGAGGAAGAAGAGGAGAAGCAAGCCATGCAGAACGGGCGCAAAACACAGGAGAGGCCCGGCCGGAGATGCCGCGGCCTCGGCGCGCCGGGGGAGCGCGCCGAGGGCGCGGGAGCCGGGCGCGGGCAAAGGTGGTCGGGGGAGAGGCCGGGGGCGGGCTCGGGCAGGGCCCTCGGGGCGGCGGCGGCGAACCTCTGCAGGTACACGAGCCTGAACGCTGGCATTCAACGAATTTGAAGGGGCCCTGGGACACACAAATAAATACACACAAATAAAACGATTCCCCATATTTTCCCATATTTTCTGGGTTTCTGTCTTCCCCCCCACTGCCCATATTTTCCCATATTTTCCTGGGGAATCGCCGATTAATTGTGTCTGTGTGTTTCTTTCTCTCCTGAGAATTGGCCTGTCAGCTCAAGTGCCTAGAGTGCGCTATATGTTTAGCGGTGCTTCGCACGTGGGGGGGGGGGGGCTCGAGCGCGCCTCGGCCAACCCAGCTCGGAGATATCCCTGGGGCCAGGCCGCGCTCAGACTCGACAAAATCGGGGTGGCCACTAACATTTTAGCAGGCGGCGGGGACCAAACCAAAGAGCGGGAGCACGTTTTACCGGCGCGGACGGGGCCCAGCAGCATTGCAAACGGAGCCCTGTGGCGGAAGCAGGGGCGACGCGACGGACACACGAGCGGCTGGCGGCGCACGGGCGACGTGGGGCGCGGCTGGGGAGGAGTGGAAGAGAAGGAGGGGCAAACTGGGCGCGTTCGCGTCATCCCTGACGTCCTACCGCTCCCTCCCATCCTTTACAATGGCGTAGTTATCCTCTCTATTCGCACAGTGGGATGTCGAGCAGGGCGATGATCGCGAGAGGTTGCGCGAGGCATGGAAGAGCACGGCATGGCGTGGCGTAGAAAAGCACGGCAAAGCGTAGCATGCCATAGCATGGCGTGGCATTGCGCAATGAAGCATTGCATCATGAAGCATTACAATGAAAGCATGGCATCACACAGCGGAGAATAACATAACACCGCACAGCATATCATGGCACGGCGCCAATTTTTTGGGAGGGTAAGTGGGTCGTCTTGGAGAGGTCTAGGCCGGTCTGGAGTCGTGGTTCCATGTCTAGTTCTTTGGGCTGCCCGACAAGCTCCACACAAGGCGGGGTTGATGGAGCGCACCCGCTGGCTCTGCTTCCAGCATTGCCTTCTCAAAGCAGGAACGGGGCTCCCGCTCGATACTTGCTGAAAATGCCGATGCCCCAAAGTGGGGGAGGGGAGCTTCTGCGTCCCAGAAAATCAACGAATCGACACCGAATGTGAAATCATTGGTTTTTTCGGAGGGGGGGGGGGGGGGGGCATTTTCTAGATTTTGGGGCCCATTTGGAAGAAAGGCCAGCGCTGCAGCGGGAGCACGATGCGAATCGAGCGGAAGCGCGGAAATGAGGCCAGCACTGCAGCGAGAGCACGATTCGGAACGAGCGGAAGCCCGAACATGTGGCTAGCGCTTCAGCGGGAGCAGCATTTTTTAGACAACACACAAAAACCAAAACCCGCTTCCTGGGAGAAAAACAATGCGCGGAGAAGGGGGCCCGATATTTCCCAGACGTCATCAGGGGAGAGAGGAATGTAGTATTCATACTGTGAAATTGTGGAGGAAAGAAAGCCGCGCGCGCCCGCGCGCGCGCGCTCAACCGCCAGCCGGGCCCGCGCGGCCGCGGCTGGCAGGCGGCGAGGCCAACGCGCGGCCCCCAGCGGCCTGGCGCCTCCGCCGCAACCGCCCGCCGGGGGTCCACCGCGAGCGCCGGGCTGGCAGGCGCAACGCTCAGCACCCGCCGGCGAGCGGCGGCGCCAGGCCGCCCCTCCAGGGCTCCCAACAGGGCCCTGGCCGCTGCGAGGATCGCCGCGGGCCCCTGCGTGGCGGGGTCTCCCGCTGCTGCTTCCTCCCGCAGCAGCACGCCCGCTTGCGCTCCGCCGCCAGCGCCGCCGCCCGCATGAGCGCGCAGGGCGGCCGCCTGCAGGCGCAGCGCCGCCGCGCGCTCGCCAGCCTCCCACAGCGCTCGAGGCACCTGCTGCGCGTTTCCGGGCCAGACCGGCACGCTACCCCCTGTCGGGGCCGGTGGCCAGGCCGCGTCGCCGAGGCCGCCGTATCTGCGCCGACCTGGAGGTCGGCTCAACGCTCGCCTTTCGGCGAGGGCGCGGCCTGCGCTGGCGGCGAACCGAGCTGCCGCGGCGGGGTGGCCACCGCGGCCCAGGCGGGAGGGGCCCTGGCAAAGGCGCCGCGGCCGCTGAGGCTATCGCAGCGGTCGCCCAATCGGGGTCGTAGTCTGGCTACCTACCAGACCACCCCAATCCAACCCGAGGACCCGAATTTCGGGTTTGGGGGGGTACGTATTTCATACGTGTTTTTGTCAGGGTGCTTCCCGCCCCCCACTTGGCCCTGGGTTCTGTCCGCCGGCCTCGGGGAGGGCACTCCGCCTGTGATCTTGCAGGGTTCAAGCCCCCCATCGGGCGAGGCTGACGATGAGCGTGCAGGGGTGGCGGGGATGAGAGTGATGAAGATGATGAGTGGAGATGGCGAGAATGCGGCTGAGAACGAGGACGAGAATGCAATAGTGATGGCCGTGGGAGTGACGATGAAGATGAGAGGGCGGTGATAATGAAGCCAGGATGAAAAGAACGGTGAGCGTGATGAGCTGGGAGTAAGGATGCCGATGAGTGAAGATGAGGATGGGTGATGGTGTGATCTACTGTTATGCTCCTCCGCAAATGGGAGCTGGAGAAAGCAAGATCCGTATGAAGGGAAAACAAGAAGTTTACAGCACAACATTAGAAACTAGAGCTGTTCTACTGCACTCCCCCACCCAAGAATTCCTGTAAGGTCTTGCCGCCCTTGCCCGTGATGATGCCGACGGCTTTGTCGTTCAGGCTCGGAAGCCGGATCTCCGTGACGTCCGTGCGGCCCCTCGTGTCAATGACGATGTCCGACTCTTCCATCCGGCTGTCGGGGCAAATCGCTCGCGGGCCAGCAGGTCGCTGTGGGAGAGAGGCACTCTCGGCACGCGCCGCTGGTTCGAATCCTCCTCAATATCCTCGTTCTTATCCTACTCTCTTCCTCTTCTTGCTTTACACCACCTCCTCCTCCTCCGCCTCCCTTACTTTTTCCCTCCCCGTCCGTCTCCATGAGTGAAGAAAGACAAGAGAAAAGGAGAAGAGTAAAAATGAGACGGAGAGGAACTTAAATATGGAAACGACGCGGGAGAGCTTCCCTTGCAGAGGTCAAGATGACTTCACTGAGACCCTCCCCCATTGTCGCACGCGCCAGTCCCAGCGCCATGGCTCGATTTCCGCATCCCACATGCATCTGGCTGTGGGGCACCAAGGTTTGCTGCCATCGATCTCGCACTTGTTGCACGCGAGTGTCCCGACGGTGTGGCTGATGACGTTGGATGGCCGACTCCAGAAACCCTGAACCCAAACACATTGACGTCTCTTGGGCCCAGAGCGCTCAGCGAGCGAGGCCACTTGCAGGTTTCGCAAAGTCCTGCAGGGCCAATTCATTGCGAAGTTGGAAAACATTATATTCATCACATCGTCTTTGGAACCCAAACACATTGACGTCTCTTTTAGATTCCGCCGCCTCGCAGCCGTTCTTCGTGCGAGGCCAACTCCAGACGGGGTAATTAAGGCAAGACGGAGACCGAGCACTCCGCATGGACTTACTCCACATGGACGCAGCATCCGCCGATCAGATCCAACGACCAGACGCGAACCTACAATAACCGACCCCTACAGTCGGGGCGTTGACCGAAGGAACCCTGAATAAGGAACGAGGCCCCTTTCTTTCATGGGTGAAACTTCGATTTCCCGTCGAAAACATCAGGAAAACCTGAGGCAAGCTGTGAAACACCTAAGGAACGCGGAGCCCCTCCCCAACGAAAAGGGTTCCTTCTTCAGGGCCCCGACTGTAGTAGACGATCCCCTTCCGTGACGTCATCCGCGCCTTCCGAGCTTCCCTTTGGCCGCATGCATACGTCGTCGGGCGAGGCGAGGGGGACGTCGCGGAGGGGGATGGTTTGCCCGGGGGTCGGTGGGGTCGCCCCTGACACAAGCGTGCTCTCGACGCGGACCCCCAGAGGGGCCTGCCAAGCCCTCTGCAATCCCGAGGCGCGCATGAGCCGACTGGTCAGACGTTGTGAGATTTGGTCATGCCCGCCCCTCTGGCACGCGGCGGGACCGGCATCGCAGTAGAGACTGGGGCTGGCGAGAAACCTGCGTCCACGAAAGAGAAGCTGGCGATGTACCTCGGCATGCAACCGCTCGCTGCCGCTGTCTGCATCTCGCGAACACGTGCTGCTGCTTGCTGCTGCATGCCGCTGATCGGGCGTTCTTTCTTTTCGAAGGAGAAGCGAGGAGCAGGAGAAAGCGCAGCCATCCAACAATCGACCCAGCGTCTCAGTGAAACGAGAGAACATCATATTCTAGCGTGTGTCTCGATGAAAATCGGGCTCCACATCGAGCCGCATGGCCGATGCATCGGCGATGCGGCGCGATCCTCCGACCCCATCTGCTCCGACCCCATCTGGGAGGCTCAGAAGTCCTCCCCGAGCTACGCTGTGCAGGGACCGACAGTCCCAGCATTTTTATAGGCCTACAACGATATGCTCTCAGAACCCCCAAATGTTCTCAGAACAGTCACAATGTTCTTAGAACGTAAGCCCGATTTGATAAAACAAGACAGACTCCGCCAGAAATGTTCTAAGACAATTTCGTGGAAACCACAGAAGTTGCTTAGAATCTTAGAACATTGTTCGGTTGGGCTATAGGCGAGCCAGGACGCTTCGCCACTGCATGACCACGGGGCAGGAATGGGGCGCTGCCAGACCAGCTCCGCCGGCCCCGGTCCAGGGAGGGTCGCAGCAGGCGAGGGCCGAGGCGGCCCGCGGTTGCCGAAGAGCCCCGCGGGGAGGTCTGGGAATTCTGCCTGGTCCTCGCCCCCCTCCGCCAGACTTAGGAGGCAACTACTGGGAGGTTGTCGTCGGAAGGATCAAAAGGGATTAAGCCCCATTGGGGGGCTGTTACGCCAGAATGGACCTCGGATCAAGCGGGATTAAGCCGTATTAAGCGGGATTGCGCGGGATTAAACCGGATTAAGCGGGATTGAGCGGGATTAAGCCGGATCTAGCGGGATTTCGGACCAGGGCTAAATCAGAATTTGATCTCCCAGGAGATGCATCCGGACCAGACGTGTTCGCGCCGTTGAAAAATCAGGACGGCAGGTTTTCAACTGCTTTCGGCCTCCAGGGGCCCTGACCGGGCCTCGCGGTCGTCGAAAGCAGAGCTTCATATGGGTCGGGCCTTCCAGGGACCGCGCGCTGCAACAAATCAAGCCATCGCAGGTCTGGGCTTGGACGCCCCTGAGGACTGGGGTCACTGGTGCAGAGGCCTTTCCGAATGGGGTCCGAGCGGATGGGGTCAGAGGATCGCGCCGCATCGGCGATGCATCGGCGATGCATCGTCGACGCCGGCGATACATCGGCGACGTTGAAACGAAGCAAATCGGGATCCACATCGGGCCGCATCGCCGACGCACCAGCGATGCGGGGCAACCCTTCGACCCAACCTGCTCTGGCCCCATGGTGGTAACGCCGCTCCTCCTCCCTTTTGATCATAAGCTACGTTTCGGAGGTCCGCCTGGACTTCCCGGATCGGCACTGCCCCCCCTCCCTGGCGCGTCAGGAAGGGGGGCAGCTCCTGTTTCACCGAGGGGAGGGGGGAGGGGGGAGAGGCGCGAACGTTTCTGTTTCTGCCGGTGTGTTTGCTCCCTGGATCTATTCGGACCCCACTCGGGAGGCCTCAGGTGGTGGCGCCGTCCTCCTCCTCCTCCTCCTCCTCCTCCTCCTCCTCATGTTGTTCCTGCTCATCTTCCTCCTCCCAGACCCACGACGTAATCAGTTGTGCCATAATGTCGACACCCAGAGGTCTCAATGACTTTCGACTGGGCAGGCTTCTCATCCTGAGTCTATTGTTGACGGCCCCGAGGTCCAGTATCATAGCCCCCAGAGGCCGTGCACGGCGACAAACCTCCCGCCCTGATTGTTTCACGACGCGAGCATGTCTGCATGTTCCTCCTCCGCCTCCTCCTCCTCCTCCTGTCCTCATCCTCTTCCTGCTCCTCCTGATCGGCCTCTCCTCCTCCTCCTTCTCCTCGTCGTCCTCCTCCTTCTCCTCGACCTCCTCCTCCTCCTCCTTTTCCTCCTCCTCCTCCTCCTCGCACTGCTCCTAAAAGTTCAGATGGGGCAGGGACACATGGGGAGGCAAGCGCACATGCAATAGTAAAATATTGAACTAATGCAAGAGGGAAAACAGGGAAAACTTCTGGCGCGCGCCTGGCCATTATCATTGTGCAACGCGCGAGTGGAATTCCTTCGCTCCCGCACACGCTGCAGGCAACAATGCCACGCATGCCGAGGGGAGGAGAACAAAAGTTTGACAACGCTTGATAGGAAGGGAGATACATGGGGGGAGAGAAAGGTGACCTTCGCGGCCCCTAGAAAGCCACTTTTTGTTTGGCCCTGAAGGGCCCCTTTAGGGACCCCAAATGGCTCCTTTTCGACAGCCCTCGCTGCCCCCCCCCCCGTCTATCGCCCCCCAACGCCCAAAACCCCGACTTTATGTTTTTCATCACGTCGACTCTGGAAGCCTCGACCCATTCCCCAAGACCGGCTCTTCATTCTGCGCTGTGTCTTCGCTCCCGAGGACCGGCGAGGGCCCCTGGAGGCCCAGAAGAGCGAACTGCCACCCGCCGTGTTTTTGTCCGTGGCTCGGGGGGGGGGTGGGCAAAAATCTTGTTCTCTTGAACAGTGACCGACCGTCCCGGCATTCCTATAGTCCTACCACGAAATGTTCTCAGCACCCAAAAATGTTATGATAGCAAAACAATGTTCTTCGAACCACAACCCGATGCGCTAAAACCAAAACAACTCCAGCCAGTAGCGTTCTCAGAACAGTTCGTGGAAACCACAAAAAAAATCAGATAACATTGCTTGGTAGGCCTAGAGGCGATCCGAGACGCTTTTCGGGAGCGGCCATGAGGGGGGTGTCCAAGAGGGGGGGTGCAAATCATGACCGGCGGCATGTGCGCGACCCAGTGGGGGGGCCCAGGGACGTAATGAAATACGAAGAGGCGCCATGAAATCTGGGGAAAAATCATGGCCACGACCATGATATCCACCCCCCCTAGTCATCACCCCCCTCTATTCCGCCCCCGAGCTTCGCCATTGCTTGCTGTTCTCCTCCCTCCGGAAACACCAGGGCGGCCAACGCCGAGGGCCGAGGGCCGCCGCGGGCCGCACGGGCCTGCCGCCTGCGCGGACGCAGGGCTGCGCGCGCGCCCGCCGCACGGCAGCCCGAGCGGCGCCCGGTACTCCCGCGCACCCCCCCCCCCAGCCCCTGTCGAGGGGGGAGGAGGGGAACCAGGAGGGCGAGGAGGAGGAGGAGGAGGAGGAGGGCGAGGAGGAGGAGAAAGGAGGAGGATGTCGCCTGGATGCTGCCTGCCTGATCTGCTCCGCAGGTAGCACGACTGCGGAGCCGACGAAAATCGAGACCCCCCTCGCCTGAGGTCTCGGGGGGGCCTCCTGCAAAACGGCGCGCAGCTGAAACATCAACCGCTGCGCTCCGCGCTCCCCCCGCGGCGGCGGCGTTGGCGCTCTGCGCTCTCCGGAGCACTGGCCGCCGCCGCGGGGGCCTCCGGCCCCAGCCCCAGCGGGGGAGTGGGCCGCAGTAGGACTGTGAATCCTGGGGGGAGGAAAGGAGTAGCCAGGAGGAAGGAAGAAAGGAAAGAAAGGGAAGAAAGGAGTAGCCAGGAGGAAGGAGGAGGGTAGGGGCACAGTACCATCGCGGCCCACCCCCTCCCCTGGGGGGGACGCACCCCAAGCCCTGAAAGAGGACCTTCCGCCGGTTTATGGGTAGGTCGCCCACGGTCTCCACCCAGTGGCCGCT